CCTAACATAACTAACTTCCTAACATGAAGGTTTTTCAAAAACAGACATTGATTTGATTTAGCAACAATGCTGTAAAAATAATAAAATAAGCTCAATAGTCAAAACATTTAAGTTCACTCTTCACTCAACAAGCACTGTGGGTTTTACAAAAATGTAATGAATTCTTTGTAAATATTATCAAATGTACAAAAAAGTAGAATAGATAGTTGTACATATTTAATGTGTTAATTACCTTATTTTTAAATTGAACTAATAAAGTTTTTATAATCTGTCATGCATGAGTGAATTTCAGAAAAGGATTAGAGTCATTTAGATGGGTGTTAAAATCTGCACTAAAATTGACTAATAGATGAATTTCTGCTGACTGTTGCTAGAGTTTTTTTACAGAATTGAAATTTATCCTGGAGCCAGATTCTCCTAGAATATTTTCCATTTCTTATTTGTCAAGAAGCCCGATTGGCCTCACGCATAACTTATACCTGCCATATTAATTATTTTCTGAATACTCATGCTATCATATGCTTCACAAGAATCTATTTCTTTGCAATATTATAATACATACAAACAGTTTACATTTGACTGACAGATGTTTTTTGCATCCAAAATTCAGTACAAATACTTTCACATTTTGTAAAGTTTTTAATAAATTTCATCATCATTTTGGTTCATATGAACTGTTTCAGATATTGTTTTTAGTTTTTGATCAAAAGGTTTGTTAATTTTTATCAACATTTCATGTGTGGAGGAGCAGACTATACAACATCATTTTGTTGCTGGTGCCAAAAGTTGACAAAAGCTGCACATATGTATAGGCAGAGCTCACACAACAAATGTTCACATATTGATGTCAGCCAGTTTTTATCTGTCAAATCCCAGTTAAGTATTTACAGTCCAGGTGTTTTTCTAGAAAAAATGAACAAGAGGGAGCACACACAGGCAAGGGAGTGGAGCGGCCAAGCTAGCACAGAAACAACATGGCGGATCGACCTAGAAACGCCATATCGGAAGGTTTCTGCATTGTTTTAACGGTGTATCTATCGCCATTGAAATATTTTTGAGTAATTTCCGTGTATTTGGTGTCCAGACACATTGTCAGCTGGTGTTGCTGGGACGTTTTCAGAGAAAAATATATTTGAGAAAGATTTCATGTTGTACGGCAGAGCGGAAGTGCGCGGCCCAAGAAATATATTTATGACTTTAAAGTTTAATCGGCAATTCGGTAAGAGGGCGCCAGCCGAGAGTATCAGGGTGGTGCGCCCCTGTTACCCGGTTTAGAAAAACCCATGCAGTCAAGCTAGTAAATTAAAACAATTGTCAAAATTATGTTTCTTTGATGATAAAGAACTACTAAAATCATCAATCACAAAGAATAATTCAGCAAAGTTTTAAAAAATGTTCATGTTAGCAGTGACTTTTCTTTAAAATGGCGCAAGTAGAGGTATTACAGCCACTTTCACTGGATTGAAAACATTTACAGTTACTATGAAAAATATCATGTAAATTATCAACAATTCCATTGAATGGAAGACAGTCTAGAATGTTCCAAAGTTCATGAACTTTAAATAGAGCAAATATGTAATCAAATGTAGGCTTAAAGATGAAGTGAAAAATTATTCTGATCCATCTCAAAATATCAGCTTTGATTCAAACTACTTACAATCTCAGTTTTACAAAAGAGCACAATGTTGGAAGAAAAAGTCCATTAAAATGTGAGTCTCCATGAGTACTGAAAATCGTGTCAATCAAAAATATTCAAATCAAACATTTTACATCACAGAATTAGTGGACGATTTGATAGGTTTGGTTGCATAAACACAAACAAGTAAGATTATCTCTGTATTCCAAAACACGTATACACGTTTAGAAAATATGCAAGGACTCTAGCAAAAACAGCTACGAACAAGACGAACAATGACCTCACTCATAGGCATTGGCATTTATAAGTTTGTTGTGTGATTCTGTGAGAATCTCACAATTCGTGTGACTTATTCAATTCATGCGAGATCTTCCACACATATCACATCACTTGTTCACCATCATCTTATGAAACCTTGAATCAAGTTATGTTAAGTAAACTTTCTGGTGATTTATTTTCACTATTTTGTCAGATCATTCAGATTTGGTGAGAACAGATTTTATTTTCAGTCATTTTCTAAGGAAGAATATATGAATTTTCAATCTACTGTGAAAATTGTAATCCTCACTGGTAATTAATTCCCCGATTTTGATATTTGATCATAATCGCTGGATTTTAAAATTTATGGATTTTCAGTAAAAAAGTGAATAATTAATGCATTTACAAGATGTAATATAAAATTAACAATAATGAATGGAACTTTTACCGTGAATAATTTTCATTATTTTATTTTTAAACAATAATAATTTCACAATTGCGAACTATTTTAATGATATACTAAATAAGTGATCAAAGCAAAGCAGTGAATTAAAACTAAAATGTAAAGGATTATTTTTAGACCATAGAAATTGGAAAAGCAAACATTATACAAATCATTATAGAGACATAATGGCAATCAGGAATTTGTTTCTTTATCTCACAAGCCTATGGTGTTGAACCAATCATTAAGTGTCGTCAATCTGTAATCAGCTCCAACAACATTCCATACACACCATTATAGAATTCCTAGTTCCTTCTAATCCAACTCGGATCACATTACCCAGATTGCTGTGACTATCAACCTTATTGGGGCCCCTACTGAACATCATGAGAGGGAGCTGAGAAAAAGGGGACTTGCACAGGAATGGTATAATCAGTAAAATTTAGTTTGTGCAAAATATTTTTTGTTTACGTGTTATGTTTTGTTTTATTTAATCATATTATTGAAAGAAAACAGTATTTTGAAAATCTACTTGTAAATGAAGAGAATCTATTTGTATGGGTAAAGAACATAAAGAAACTGTCAACGCCTTGCCCATCTATAAAATTCTTACACGTTTCACAGAGAACAATGTTTACAGACAAGACATAGATAAGATAGAAAGGAAAACTGTCCACTGTTTTTAATTTGCTATGCATGGGGGGTGGGGGTGGCTTGTAATTGTGTAATGATACAGTGATGTGTAACACACTCGTACGCAACATAGAATTACCACTGCAACAATCACATAGTGTTAGTACTAACAAATTAATACTAGTAAGTACATTTAGAACATTAGTGTAACTAAGCGATACTCATACTGTAAAACATTTTACTTTAGCTGGAATTCATTTTCGCTGAAAAGACATTTTGAATGTTTTGTATAGAATTTATTTTTACTGATTTTTGAATATAAAATCTAGGAAAAAATGTATATTCGCTTAATTTTATTTCCAAGTGAAACAAATGTATTTCACGATACAGGAAATGCAGGATACAGGAAATACAACATGACAGAAGATTTCACTAACAGGGCAATGACAGAAGATAATGTTTTCGCTGCAGGCTAAAAACAACAGTGGTCAACCAATTTCAAAACAAGGGGACCGGAAAGCAGCAGGAATTATAAACTTTGTATTTAATCATTGATAATAAACACAATGATTATAAACAATGATGTAACAATACATGCAGTTTATTTTCAATAACCTCTGGCATAATGCCAAAGGTTTTTTTAGCAAAATACTGAAGAAAGTTCTTAAAACATAGTGAAACTGAAAAAGCTTTGCCTTTGAAGGAAATTAAACACACTCAGTGTCAATCAAGAATCATACTATTAACCAACAAATTGTGGGTGCCATTACTGTCTATATGCATTCCAAGTTTTAATTTTGTATGGATGGAAAGTACTAGCGGTGAATCATATACATCTTATAATTGCAAGGTATCTAAAGGCAAGGCTTGGATTGCAAATTGGTCAGCAATGGCTGCCACATGATAAAGGCAAATTAAAGTAATCTTACCTGGCTCGTGTGTAACGTCATCTTAAACTTGTCGAAGTAAAGCCACTTCTTGGCTTCGCTGTGGTCGAGGTCATGATAGAAATCACGGGCACTAAATCCAAAAGAATGGAAATGTCCATCAGAGGTCATCAGTAGAGTGGTCGGTGTTTTCATATTAGTCACGCCAGGATCGCCGCCTTCCCATTTGCGCATAATATGAATATACTCGGGATCGTTGGTGAAACTGTAGGCATATCCACTAAATGTGGTTCCAAAGTCAATAGCTACGACCACTCTATGGTGTTTGGAAGCTGGTTCAGGTAGGTTTTTCGGGATCGATGGTTCCACCATATAACTAGTTATATCTTCTGCGTCTAAACTTCGTCGATCTTTATATCGATCTTTACGCTTAGGTTTCTTGGGAGTGCTACTTCTTGGAAAGGTTCGGAACTTATGAGTCTTCGGTTGTTTGGTTTCTGCAAATATAAATAAATAAATAAATGTTTGAACGCCATAATATTTCCCGCCATAATTTCTGTGCAACATTTTGCATATTTTCCTTATTTTTCAATAATTTCCCTGTTAATTTTTGACCAGAAAGACATAATTTTCCATGGAAATAGGTGAAGGTGCTTTGCCATGCATGCATTTACCTGTAGTTATGTTCACAAAGTAATTTTTTCACAGAAAATGACTGATTTATAACATTATTAGATTGGTTAGTGTAAATTTTTAGCATCCAGAAGGATCAACAACAGTTTTTTTTTTTTCAGGCAGTAATGTAGACAAAGAACAACTTTTTTTAAATTAAAAACTCCTTTCTTCATCCAATTTTTTTTTATGTCAAACTGAACAAATTCATTCAGTGTGACTTTGTTATTTTTGGTTTTGATGACATTTACAAAGATTTTGTTCACGCTGAACAAGCAAAACAAGCGACATAAATAAAGCATTTTACTGACAACCACCAACATTCAACAAATCAACACCACCTTTCACAAGTAGGACACAGTCGACCTTTAACCTTTTCAACACCAGACTTTCTCGCTCAAATTTGTCAGCACTTTTTTCTTATATTCGTCAATATTTCTGAAAAATAAACCCTAATTTTGGAGCCAACTGACAAAATTTGAGTCAATTTTCAGTTTTTACTCAAAAAATTTGGCTACTTTTGTCCTAATCCTCTTAAGGGAAGTGCAGACTATAAATCGGACTATTTTGTGAATTTGTGATGAAAAGAGGAACTGGAGGTGAAAAGATAACCCTTTTGTCATTTTTCACAAGCCTGGATAATTTTTGACAAGATCCGAAGCCAAGAGGAAATTACACTCATCATTTCAAAATCAAGAAAATAAATAGCATTTCTCT